ATCGTGATATTTTCACCCTCTTGTCCGATTAGAGGTTAACAGCACCTCTTCCTAACACTAGCATATTTTCCGAATATACAGTAATACAGCTCTTCTAATTACTTGTCCAGATTCCCTTCACCGTGCGTTGTGTTGTGATGTTCGGCTTATAATTGTGGTCTAGAGATCGACCCGAAAATAAACACAACAAATTAAGTTTTCGGTCCGCTTCATTAAAAAAATATTATCTGCTCATCACCGATCATTATAGGCGTTGTCGGTGACCATAACTGGAAACTCATGGAAAATTTCAAAGCGATCAGTGCTATATTCCCCGCCTAGTGTGATAATGGGTTACTAAATAATATCTGACCTGTAAATATTTAAGTGTAACTCTCACATCCGAGTACATTCGAAAATATAATCAATGTAAAGGCCAACCACTCCTCTTGGATATACTATCAACTTCTTGGGTCGAACGAATACAAATTTTGTAATTTTTCACAAAAGTAACGGTCCATTTGTACCGCTAAATATTGACCGATCTTTGTTAAAACAGGCATGCTTATTATTTGGCCCGATCCCCTTCTCCATGTAAAATTTCGCGATATTAGGGTCGAATTGTGTCCATTAGGGCGACCAGAAAAACAGACAAAAAATAAAGTTGTTGATCCATCTCATCCCCTAAAAATTAACCGATCTTTACAAAAACAATAGGGGTCTTCATTAGTCAGAACCCATAACTGTGGCCTGTATCGTGTTTACAAATTATAATGGACAGACGGACGGAGGGACACACAAGTCTAGATATGGCGATCGGTTTACTTAAAGGTTGGTCTAGGACCAATATTTCGCGGCATTACAAATGCTTGGGGCTGCACAAAACTATAATACCCTGACAACATAGTTTTATAGGGTATAAACATTGGTATCTATGGAGGATTTTCAAAATCGACTACTACAGTTTTGTGCAAATATAGAGCAGGACTTCTATGAGAGAGGCATTATGAAGTTACCTTTAATTTGGCAATAAATGATACAGCAAAACGGTGCATATTTGGCCCAAATCGTACATCCCGAAGCTTATTAAATATAGTCCTATAGTTCATAAAAAATATAACTGCATATAAGACAGTCCAATAAGTAGTTGAAAATCAATCATTTTATCACTAAACTAATACTTATTATTTGCTTAGGATTAATTATTCAAAACCCTTCAACAAACCTAAAATAATGAATACGTGTTTAATACCCGGTTCTCATGTGACCTAATACAATCTAGATTGTAATTTTCCTTCGCTAAGGAATTTAATTGAAATGTTTATAAAGACGACAGCGTCGTCGACTATGTTTGGCTCTTAGTTTTCTTTTATTTTTCTGTTCTGCGCCCCTCGCATAGTTTTCCACATACGTATAACGGCTGTTTTTGCTGATTAATTTGCATTTTATAGAAATAATTCTAGTTAAGGGACCGCTGTTTATTTTCCATCTGATAGTTGGTTGGTTGGTTGGCGACCACGACCACCTTTTTATGGTTCGTTACAAAAACAAATGTCTAGTGTGTGAAAAAAGAAAGAAGACTATCTTCAGCTGTTGTTAACTATTTCCACTCACAATTGCCCAAATTTCTAAAAGGTTTTCCACTCTATGTTTCTTCTTCTTTGTTGTTCTCTTTTTCTAGGTTTACTGACTGTTGGGATCAGTGGTGCGCTGCTGCAGCAGCAGTCAGTGTTCCATTTATAATGACAGGTAAAATTTACACATTGCGTGATATTGCATGCATGGGGATACGTGTGCGCAGGCGTACAATGACTGTGAAGGTGGATGCCGAACAAATGATGTACGAGTACATGTGTAGAAATATAATAAATTCGAAAAAATAAGAAGGAAAAACAGAACGTTTTTCTAAATTGTTTTTCCATCGTGATCGTTTAATGAATGCGACAATGAGAGTTAAGTGCAACACATATTGTGTGAGTTGCATTACTTGTATGTATCACGTAGTATGTGTGGAGGTGGCATAAATTGAAAGCCGTAAATGATTTGTTAACCATTAGGGAGATGATTGTAATTATTTATGTCCTACACAATTAAATGAGAAGGGTGTATTGAGTTAATTGAAAATTATTCGTAAATTTGTGTGGTATTGACAACATTCGAAGAAGTCAAATATATTAAAAAAAGAGTCTACCTGTGACATTAAAAATAGAATACCCACAAACAGTGTATATTAGGCAGAGCTCCGAAATGCTCGCTCGAATTCGAGTAAAGAGTGAAACTCGCTCGAATTCGAGCGGGAGTACTCTTGCGAGTAGAAAAAGTAAATAGAGTATACTCTATTTTTCTCTGCCACTCAAATAAGAGCGCAAGTGCTTCGCTCGTTTTCGAGTGGGAGTGAAATACGCTCGAAATCGAGCAGATTACACTCTTGCCGAGTACTCTTTTATTTTTATTTATGTTTTTGTTGTGATACCGTTGTTTTACTTGATGTTGTTTGTGTGCATTGTTTGTTTGTTTTGTGATGTTTGGTTTGCTGTACTGCTGGGAAAGCATGCATCAACAAGCTCGTTCTCTGCGTTCACTTTATGTAAGTCTGAAATAGTGACAGCAAGACGAACCAGCCTCCAAATTGAAACCCTCGACAATATTTTGATACTAAAATTAAATAATGAACCACTTATGCATTCATGGGTTTTCTTTCAAACCAGCGCTTTTAATATTTTTGGAGAATACTTTTCCATATTTTTAATGAATACCATTTTAAATATTTGTATGGAGGTGTTTATGCTTTTAAAAAAATATTGAATTAATTAAATCACACGGTTGAATTCATTTTATAAATTGAAATAAAAAACATATAAAAATCTTATATTGTATAAGATTTTTATTTGTATTTCACATTTTCAGTAAACAAAATAATCGATCTCCCCACAGCACACAAAAGATCAACATCAAAAAATGTTTGCTACTACACACATACACACACACACACACAAAAAACCAAACAACCAACTTTATTTGTCCGCTCGATTTCACTCTTAGAGTGAACTCATACTCTATTTCGAACATTTTGACTCACACTCTTTTTCTTCATCAAGGAGTACTCGCGAGCACTCCCAAACAAAATAAAAGAGTGGAGAGTATACTCCCTAAAAAAACTCGTACTCTTTACTTACTCCCACTCGGGAGTATTTTTCACTCGCGAGTAAAATCGAGCAAATCGGAGCTCTGATATTAGGTTATTTCTGACATATTAGAAATAAACATCATTAGAAGTGAATAATTATATGACTTAATTATTCACTTCTATTTGTGGAACATTGAAAATTGGACCGTTGTTGCTTTGGCGGAGGTACTCAAGAAGTACAATTGCCTTATAGGAAATGCGATGGAAAGGGGCTGGCGTAAGTAAATCAGATGGTTATGCACTGAATTTTAGCTTTCATAAAACGAGACATGAATTTGGCTGCGGATTTATGGTTAAGGAGAAAAAAAGATCTCGTCTCCAGGTTTACCCCAGTTGATGAGCGAATTGCTATAATCCATATAAAAGCGAAGTTCTTCTACATCAGCCTTTTTTGCGTCCATGCTCCAACGGAAGACAAAGATGAACAGACCAAAGACATTTTTTACGAGCGCCTAGAAACTACATATGACCGCTGCCCTGGCCATGACATTAAAATTCTGCTAGGAGATTTTAATGCAAAAATCGGAAGGGAAAATATTTTTGGCCCCACCGTCGGAAAATTCAGCCTCTATGAAAAAACATCCAACAACGGCATGAGGTTGATTGACTTCGCAGCAGCAAAAAACATTGTAGTTAGCAGCACCAAATTCAAGCATCAACCTGCATTTCTCCTGATCGAACAACGACAAATCAAATTGATCATGTTGTGATAGACGGAAAGGTGAATATCGATTCGGACCACTACCTTGTAGCAGCCAAAGTTCGCACTCGTCTTACGGTAGCAGCAAAGGTAAGATCTAAAACAACACGGAAACTCGACATCGAAAAGCTGCAAACACAACAGGTATCAGAAGCCTACTCCGCTCAACTTACCCACACTTGGGTACCAAAGACCACCACCAAGAAACCCACAGTACGATCAGGAGCGTGTTAATGCCGACGCCGCGTATAGGGTAAACCTACAGACAATGGCAACACGTAATGCGACGGAGAATTATCGGGAGAAAAGGAGAGAGGAGAAACGTATTTTCAGAAAAAAGAAGAAAAAAACGTAAGCGTGAGCAAATCGAGATGTACAGGAGTCAGAATGAAGTCCGGAAATCTTGCCAACGAGTAAAACACCAAACCGAAGGCTTTGGTGCAGGCACATCCCTCTGTAGAGATGAAGGAGGAAACCTGGTGACAGATACAGACAGCGTGTTGAGGAACTGGAAGCAGCATTTTGAAAAGCTTCTGGTATCAAGTAGTGGCCGTAAAAAAGATACCGATGGGTTACCAGCCGAACTATTCTACACTGGTGGTCAGATGCTGGTAAGGAACATGCACCAGCTGATTAGTACAATTTGGATAGAAGAATGCATGTCCAATGATTGGAACCTCAGCATCCTGTGTCCCGTGCACAAAAAATGAGATAAGTCGATGTGCCAACTATAGAGGAATAAGTATCCTTCCCATCGCATATAAAGTGATATCCAGCGTGTTGTGTGAACGACTGGAGTCACTGAAATTATTGGAGCATACCAATGCGGCTTCAGACCTGGCAAATCCCCCATTGACCAGAGTTTCACTCCTGGAGAAGACCAACTTCGTCGACTATAAAGATGGATTCGACAGCTCTATCCGTTCAGAGGTGTTTAAAGCCATGTCTGCGTTAGGCATTCCTGCATAAATAATATGATTATGCAGGATAACTTTCGGTGGCAGAAGATTATACGGATTATAGCAGTTAAAGTCGGAGAGGACCTCTCCGGGCCCTTCAAAACCGAACAAGGATTCAACATGGTGACAATTTGTCGTGTGACCTGTTTAACATTCTGCTGGAAAAGGTCATACGAGATGCAAAGGTGAACAGAAATTACACTCTGTACACCAAACAGCATATGTTACTCGCCTACGCCGATGATATCGATATAATGGGTCGAACATTGCGAGCGGTAATAGCCACCTTTGAACGAATTGAGGAGTCTGCCAAAGTGGAACTGGCAGTAAATGACGAGAAGGCCATGTTGATGGGATCAACGCGAAAGAGTCCATTAGACTCGGACCAACTGTGGAACTTGATAACTACAGCTTCGAGGTAGTGAACGATATTATATACCTCAGTACCGCCCTAAACCAAACTAATAACATCAGATTTAAAATCCGGAGGAGAATAGAGTTGGCCAACATATGCTACTATGGTCTGAGTAAGCAACTCAAAAGCAAGGGCACCTCTCTCCAGACCAAACTCACACTCTACAAGTCGCAAATATTACCCGTGCTTTTGTATGGATCTGAAGCATAGGCACCTGTACAAGCAGATGTGGCAGCTCTTGGAGTGTTTGAGAGAAAAATTCTCCGGAAGATCTATGGACCGATCTGCGTTGAAGGTGAATTTCGCTATTCTCGGACATTGACATAGTCGAACTGCAGCGACTACATTGGCTAGGCCATGTTGTGAGAATGGATGAAGATGCCCCAGGTCAAAAGGCATATAAAAGCGAGCCAAGTGATGGTTCACGCAGAAGGGGAAGGACAAGAATCCGATGGAAAGCTCAAGTAGAAGACAACATTTCGGAAAATGGTCCTTCAACTTGGATGAGATGCGCACAAGACCGACGCGCTTGGAAATCTTTTTTAAAGTCTGCTTACGGAACAGTCGTTCTGTCATATGCCAGCTAAGTAAGTAAGTAGTGAAATTACCCTGTCAGAGAAATTTCCAAAAACAAAAATAAATGACACTAATTAATTACAAATATTTGGAAAACTAGCAAGAACACTACCTCTGAACTTTGTCAGTAAAATTCCACAAGGCGAAATGATTGGCTGGCGGGATGACTATTAATTATTTGAATGGAGCAAAAAAAAAACACGACAACAGTAGTTAATGTTAAGTGCCATCCGAATGAAAAACTTATAACGAACATGTCGAAACATTTAACCCAAAAAAAATAACACAATGTTGAAGAAAAACATCTCGAGTTGCAACTGCAACAAATTATCTCAGCCAATGTTCAAGGAACAACAACAATCCGCAAATGAGCTAGGCGACCGATTTAAATAGTCAATGAGCAAGCGAGAAGCCTTAGGTCGCGTGTTATTTGTCAATAAATTGCCAATGTTTACATTAACACACAGTCGGAGGCGACAACTGGGCTTTGTCTTCAAATTCAGGTCTTGCTGCTTATCTATCGGGTTAGTTAACTAACTGGTGTTGGCTTGCTGTTGTTCATTTATTTGATTTCAATTTATTTGTGGCTTTTTACATTTGAGCAAAACTTGTAGGTAATTGGAGGAGTAAGAAAAGTAGATTGGTTTCGAGGGGTGGTATTTGGTGACCAACTTGAATATTGAGAGGTTGGGTTCTGGGTTGGTTTTTCTTTCTGAGGCGAGAAAGATCATTTGGTTAGACTGTTCGATTCCAGTGTCATTTTTGTATATTTGCTGCTGCTCTAGGAGGTTGTTTGTAACGGTTAACTGTCACATTTCGTTCGATAAGCGCTTAAGATAATATGCCAATAAGCCACATTACTAAACTTCGACGTTATAGTAAGGTGGTGTGAATAATATTTGTCATATATGTTAATTATTACACTGGGCTACAGAGAAGAAGAAGTAATAAACACTGTTATAGAAATCTGACTTCTATAAATTCTATTCTGAAATCTGACTTCTATAGATAAATCGGACTGAATGATCCGATCTGCACATAGATTGGTTGATACAGATAATGACATGGTTCTGTACAAAACATATAGGCTCTCCACCCTTTTTTGACCCCAACACCTGGTAGGCAGTAATAATTACTCCCGAACATTATTTTACCCACTATAAAAAAATTGACATTTGAACACCAGCACCACCACCTATCAATAGCATTTTCAAAAATCAAGTGTTATATTGTAACGACCAACAAAAATAAAAATAACAGCAAACCCCCTATCTATCTGCCCGTAATGTCCATTTGGGCGATAGGGGGCAACATTTTGACATGTATGCACTCCCATCTGAAGCAGCAGCAATATCAGCGTTGTCGTCGTCGTTATGATTATTTTGGGCGTGTGGCAATTGAATGCTTGGTTTTCAGCAAAAATCACACACACACTCTCACATGTACATTTTTAAATACAGAGTGTAACATCAGACACACCTAGCTAAATACGAGTACAACAAGCTCCAGTAACTAATAATAACAAATGCTATAGCAGCAATAACAAATAATAATAATAGCTTGAGAAATACAACAAACATCCATGACTAAAGTTGTTGTTTTTTAAAAAAAGGAATAACCAGCAGCAAAGACAACGGCAATAAAATAAAATCACAACATCAACTTCTTTGTGGCAATTGATGGCACCAGCAGCCAAGTAAACATCATCTCGGGGAGGTTATTTTTTTTGGAGTGATAGAAATTGTAGAGGACATAATGAAAAGTGTAGTCAGTTGATATCGCCACTACGGGAAACAATGCGGCCTAGAAATATTATGTGGCATGTTGATTCCACACATTCTTAAAATCGTATTCTTCAATAGCACAATAACTTAATTAAAACCGAAAAAGCTAAGTTTAATCATTTGAGGATTTCTTCGGAATATCGTATTTGGATAACTGTGATGGATATTTTTTTTTTTTTTTTTGGCTAATCAACAAGGCATAGATTTTTAAAGAATATCTTTACAAGGATTTCCATATTACCCGGATTTTTATACCCTACACAACTATGTTGTCAGGGTATTATAGCTTTGTTCAGCCCCAAGAGTTTGTAACGCCGCGAAATATTGGTAATAGACCCACCTTTAAGTATACCAATCGTCATATCTCGACTAGCTGAGTCGATCTAGACATGTGTGTCCTTCCGTCTGTCCATTATAATTTGTAAACACGATACAGGCCACAGTTATGGACCAATCTTCACGAAATTTTGCATGTAGGATGGGTTTTGGCCAATGAAGTCCTCTATTGGTAAAGATCGGTTAATATTTAGGGGATGAAACGGACCAAATACTTAATTTTTGTCGCTTTTTCTGGTCGCTCCAGAGGCCGCAATTATGGCTCAATCATCTCGAATATTTGCAAGGAGAACGGGATTAGGCCGAAGAATAAGCATGCCTTTTTTGATAAAGATCGGTCAATATTTAGCGGTTCAAATGGACGCTGACTTTTGTGTGAAAAATGACAAAAATTGTATCCTATAGCGTATATATATACTCCTGATGGACAGAAGTTGACAGTATATCATAGGTGCCCATCAGTATACTTTAAAGTAGCTGCCTACTCACACGCATTGTTATGCTCTTTCAGTCAGTCGTTGTTTGACAGGCAACGAATGAACACATGCTGGGGTGCGCGCACGACGTCGTGTCCGCAGAACTAGAAAATCAACGAAATAACACTTAGGGATAAAAGTGTTTCAGTATATTTGGATTTTTATTTTATTATTCAAAATGCGTTTTGTATGTTTAAAAAATTTTAAAAACAACAGAACAATTTCTTTTTTTTAAAGAATTAAATATTTAATAATTATCGTAGTATTTAATATTATAATATGATTATTATCTCGGTATATGCTACTTTATAAACTTTATTAGATTTTTATGACATATACACTTTGTAATTCATATAAAAACATTTTTAATAATGCTTTTATTTTTTATAATAACAAAAATTAAATTCATCAATAATTTTTTCCGACCACAAAAATGTACACACAATTTTGTTCAGTATTGTTCTGTTTTCTCTCACACATACTAACGCATTTTAATTTTGGGCACCTATGCAGTATATCCAAGAGGAGTGGTTGGCCTTTAAAAAGACAACGCCTATAATTTTCGGTAAAGATCAGATAATAATTTTGGGATGAATTGGACCGAAAATTTATTTTTTTGTGTTTTTGCGAGTAGATCTATAGGAAAGCCGAATATCACAACATAACCCGCGGTGAAGGGTATTTGTACTGTACAAATATCGCAAATATAGAACCACAGAGAGTTAGATTTCCGTGGAACTTGTGTAAGGTATCATATGGTCGGCCCCGTCCGACTATACTGCTCCGCTCACTGGTTTAAAATAATACTTTTCAAGGTCTATTTAAGGTGTGGATTTTTTTTAGAGAATAATTTTCTAAGCCCTATATACAGCGTTTATAGACCCTAACACCGTATATATCAACACTGGTGGCCAAAACTAAAGCAACTGAAATTGCAAACTGAATAGATAGCCTGTATATTTTTCGAAAGTAATGTTATAGTGAAAGTTTTTCAAAAATAAATAGGTAATTTAATCATTTTTAAAAAATACAAAAGCAAAATTTATTTTGAAATGAACAAGCAAAAAAGTGTCAGTCAGATATATACCCCCAGCCTATAGTTTGCGGAGGTCTTCGGAATTAACACAGGTTTTATTATTGACTTTATATAAGAAATATGTTTTTATCCAAGAGGTTTCGCAAGGTTGTGCAAGGTTTGGTTGAAATATGACATTCCATTCGCCTGATATTTACTAATATTGAAAATGTTGACCATTTGTGGGGGAGGTACCAGAAGGAGTGGACCAATGGTTCCCATCTTCGGACTTAATGTAGACCTCGTAAAGGTAATGGGTTGTAAAAAGTTTGGTTCACATCGGACATTCCATTCGCATGATATTGGATTTACAAATATTGACAATTTTGGCCATTTGTGGGGGAGGTACTAGAAGGAGTGGACCAATGGGTCCCATTTCCTACTTGATCTAGGCTTGGTAAAGATAATTGGTTGTACAAAGTTTCATTAAAATCGTATAGTCCGTTTGCATGTTATTATAAAATTAATGTTTAGCTCAATTTTGACCATTTTGTGGGGGAGGTACCAGTAAGAGTGAA